GCTCCCGTACGGGAGAAACGATCCCTTGCGCGTTCTCCACCGTCCTTTCCCAGCGGAGCGATGCCCCTTCGCTCCGCAGCCCGCTCCCGCACGCCGTACGCGTACGGCTTTGCCACGGAGGGGAAAGGGAGCCGAGCTCAGGGCGAGGGGTAGCCGTGGAAAAAGGCCCCTTGGGAGGTTCAGGCCGCCACAACCCCGTCTCCAGCCTTGGGGAAAGGCTGGGAGAGCTGCCCCGGGGACTCACCCCGCAGCCGGCTCGCTCCAACATAGCGCCGAGGACGGAGCCTTCTTCCCCTCGGTCTCCCCTGCGCGGCACCTCCGCTCCCGGGCATCGCTAACTCACCCCATCCATCGCAGAGCGGGACACGCACGGTGGCTGCGTCAGGATGCATCCACCCCGCTGCGGGCACCTGCTCTCCGGGCTGGATGGGGAGCGGAGCGCGGGCGGGTTAGGGTGCTGGGACAAACCTCCCGCTAGCTGTGGCAGCTAGGCTTGGGCTCTGCCCGGTTTGAAGCTGGGGGAAAGAGAAGGAGAAAGCGAGGCCAGCTTTTCATAAACCTGCGTTCACCATGGTCCCCAGCACACGGATGCAGAGCGGACGAGGGCTTGGACGCAGGGGGCACCTCTCTGAGAGTGGCCAGCACTAGCCACGAGCACAGCAAGGCAGGAGGCTGGACAAGCAACACTACCCCTCTTCAGGGGTCTGGTAAAAACAACCCCACATGTAAGAAAAACACACTCTCAAGCTTTACAGAATAACCCCCCCACTCAGGGTTGTGGGCTTGCACTGTTTATGCCTAAATTTCCTTCCTCGGCATGGGACTTGGTCACCCACGGACAACGAGGGGCTGTTTACCACCCAAGGCAACAGGGTGCACGTGTGTCAGCATTGCAGCTCTCCTGCAAATGGTACACAGCTGATGATCTTGCAGTTTCCAGTGGCAACTTACCAGCTCTGTTTACTCCCTGCAGTATTTTGTTTGACTATTTTGTTTTAATTTGACTAAAGCAAAAGGATGTTTTGATTCTGCTTTGGTTTGGGGGAAAAAAATAGGATGTGACTTATATCTGCTTTTGTTTTCATGCCAGCTTCAACCACACACCTATTTTAAAGCTCACAGGCCTCTTCCTCTTCTTTTTAATCATGCCAAAATCTGAAGTTACAGGAGCATCTGTTGAGTGCAGCTTGAAGAGATCCACAGGGATCCTGTAACACATCGCTTTTCAGCCAGACACGGCTTAGCATGTACGGAAGGGAAGCGGGATTCAAAGGAGAGAGAAAGGGATCTGCATAACATGGCAAAATAAGGAAGTCGCTGAGCCACGGGCAGAAAAGTACGGATAGGAGAAATGAAGAAGGTCACGGCTGGGCCAGCAAGCGCTGACCGACGGGCTGCGGGGACAGCACGGAGGGCGGCTGGCATGCCGTAAGGGGCTGGTGCAAGGGGAATACTTGGCCTTGGTACAGAGATCCAAGAGCTGGCCACTCCTCATGCAGGTCAGCCCAACGCTTCCTTTCAAAACAAGAGCAGCTCTGTCTGCAAACGCATCCGTGTTTGGTTCGTATCTAGGAAGCAACTGATCCATCTGCTCTTCCACTTAAGAATATGGATGATGAGAAAGTGACTGGCTCAGCTCCAGCAAGAGCAGGAAACTCCCCCCTCTGCTCATTGTAATGTGGGGAAGCGTCTGGGAGGGCACCTGCAACCCCCGGAGCAGCCAGCTTTCCGACCTGGCATTTCCCGGGGCTGCCGCGTGAGTCCTTAGGGTTCGGGGCATTCAGACAGAGAAGAATCCAGCCCAGTCTTGGAGATGCCAAATCACAGTTCTCTGCAGCCTTTTGGCTCGGAGTATAAAGATGTTTATCCAGCTGCTGTAATCAGAATGGTATCAGGAACAGAAAAGCTATCTTGTGGAAAGGTGAACAGATTTCCAACTCTTTCAGCATTAGGTAAAAGCTCAGAATTGGGGCACAAGAAAGTTTGAATCTTTGTAACTTCTACCCCAAAACTGAAACCTGAGAAGTTAAGCCTATGGCAAATAGCTGATAAAGTTTTACGGAAAAACATTCTCGGAAGAGCATGATAGATCAATCCATACAAGTTCTGGTTGCCTAAACATTGCTGGTTTCTTGGGTTTTTAGACAAAATCCCATCTCCCTTGAATTTCACGCAAAAGGTCTCAATGCAGTCAGCTAGCTTGATTTCTAAACCCTTTCCTAAGATGATTCCACAGCTTGAACTTGGGAGATCCAGGGGGTTCCTAATTTAATACCATTAGCATATTCACCTGAAAACATCACAGAGAACTAGATGTTGTTACCACAGACATGGAACCTGGAATCGGGGGGGCTCGTTTGTCGGTACGGGTGCAGCGTAGAGCAGTTGAGCGTTGCAGAGCCAACAGCTGAACCGCTGGTGAATCACCGCCTGCTTCCGGCAGAGGTGAGCTCCAAGAGGAGTTTATAAACCAACATTATAAAACGACGCTGTAATGACGTGAAATTTCTCAGAGCAGCTTTTAATGTTTACCACAACTGATAAGCAAATAGCAACACCATTACTCCTCTGTGGCAGTTTCTACCCAGGATGGATGTGATGCACAAGAACTGCCAGTTTAAAGTCTTTAAATTTTTGCACTAAGAACACGTTCAAGTTGTTCCATTTCATCCACTCGAGACAGCACCTCTCGAGAACAGTCATTCTTCAAATGTTTGCTGCTCAAAAACAGTTGCAGCAGCTGGGGGGCAATAGGATGGCTCGCTGGGTGCTGTGTCAGGCAATGTCAAAAATATTAACCCTACTGCTGCAAGGTGGCCAGATCTGGGATCACTTCAGTTCAGATCAGATGGCCACAGTCATGCCTTTCCCTCCTGCCCTCTGGTATGGGCAGCAACCCTAGCTTGCAAGAGTCAAATCAAATTCTTTACACAGGCACAAGAAGCTTATGTTCCCCTGGCTTTAGCTGTCACAAGGGTAAAGCTTTTCTGCTTAGACACAGTTTTCTTGGGTCCTTCATTGTGCACGGTAAGTTCTCACAAGTCAAAGGACTCCCCCGTGTCCTTAACTCCTTAGGTAAGTCTGTCTAGGCCAGTATCCTGTCTTCAACAGAGCCAGGAACAGATACTTATCACAAGGGTGTATAGGAAAAAAAGAAAATGCAAAATCCATACATGCTTTTCTTGACTTTACCTTTTGTGTCCGGAGTTCCTGGGAAGTCGGCAAGGTCAAGAGAGGCTGCGCCCAGCTCACAAGCCCCCCTACAAATACATCAGCACAAGTTGTTCTGCATTTGCTGGAACAGTTTGACTGGATCTCAGCAGTTACTTGCTCAGAGGACAGCTAAAAGCATGCATCTCTCTTTCTAGGATCAGGGTGTCACCCAAGTTCCAGCAGACATCATCATGTTAGTATGAAAAGGGGACTTTCAAGCCCTTTTGCAACTTGGGGTGCTTTCCGACAGCTGTGTTTTATTACAACAGCTTTACAAGCAATTTCTACAGCAGCATTAGCAACACCATCTACTGGGGACAACGTCACGCAAGTTCTTTGTTACCCTGGAAATGGGAATTATCATTTCTAAATTAGACAAAGCAGCACTGGCTGAATCCTGGCCTCAAAATCCCAAAGACTCAAGCTATCGACTTTAGTCACTGCTTCCATATCTCTCTCTAGGACTGTGGTATTTGAGCAACTTCAGTTGCATTACTTCTTAGGGTGAGGTGGGTTTGGCTGTATAGAGCCAGCACGGAAACTATTTGGCTGTCTCTTAAATTGTTTAGCTATTTTTGTTGCATTTCAGCTCTGTAATGATCACATGCCTCTTTTACATTGGCATCCCTCTGTTACGCTTTTCTCCATAAAGTCATTGTTGAGCTTGGCAAGTGCTAGATGTGTTTTTATAAATAAACCACCAGCACTCCATACAGGACTGATTTCCAAATCTAAAACCTCGCCGCTTCGAAAATGTATTGGAGGATAGACCATAAAAAGAGATGAAGGAAGCAGAGCATAGCTGTTCCCAGCTCAGACAGCCCAAATTGCTCCTTCTGCTGGGATAGCCTCTCTTGGTTTTCCACCTCCTGATAGGTCTGCAATCCTCTCTCCTTAGTTTGCAGTTTTATTATATGAACTCCTACCAAATTCTCACAGAGCACCTACTGAAGATAAATTCAAAGTAGGATTCATGAGATGTGCCTTTTATTTTTGATTCAGCTGTTGGTCTGTTAAAAGATTACTTGCCACAGACACCTTCCTCACCTGTTTAAAAAAAAAAAAAAAGGCAGCATTTCTAGTATCTGTAAAACCCTGTCTTCTTATGAACAGTGCTGACCATCAGTAAAGCATTTTATTTGCATAGTATTACAAATAAATCCCTAGGAACAGGAGCAGCTAGTTGCAGTGCCAGAAGTGCTCACTTAAATATGCAACCTGCTCAGTTTATCTAACTAAATGCAGGAATATTCCTAGCATGACTGTAAGGCCTTGTTTTTAAAAGAGCGGTCTGCTTAACCAGAGTGCAAGAGGTTAACAGCAAATGTTTCCATGCCAGGAAGAGCTAAAATTCATTCAATCCTTAATATACTAGCTACTGGTTTGGTTTTTTTTTCTTTTAAGCTTTTTACTTTTCTTTTAACCTCAATTAAAGCTTATCCTGCTGAACTTCAGGCAGTTGTGGAGAAACACTGCAGTGCTAAAGGACTTAGCAGAAACAGTCGGAGGGCAATGACACAGTTAAACCGTCATCTGGGTTTACATCTTTTACAAAACATCACTTCCCAGGCCTCTCTAAACAAATTTAACTCTCTTTACACCAAAAGCAACTAAAAACCATACATGCCATCAAACTAGTACCACCCTTTCCCTGTTTGACCTGCTAGTTTGCTTAAGACAAAACAGCTGGTGAAGAAGATGTCTTCACTGTCTTAAAAACCACGTAGGAACACAGGTTGTTTTGCCCCGATGTAGAATAGAACGTAAACAAAACAAACGTTCAGCATTGTTGCCAGGCTGGAAAAGCTGTGAAGGCGGTGACACCTCCAGCAGTTTCGTGGCTTGCTTGAATACCAGCCTACTTAGTAATCCAGTTGGGTAGTGACTGTTTAAAGAGATAAGTGCTCTTAGCCCGGGGGAGAAAGCAAGGTTGGAAGCCAAGTCAGCATTAAATGGAGCTAGAACTGTTACTCCCAATATTGTAAGTACCAGCTTTTTCAACCGCCATTCCTTTCCCCAGGAGGGAAAAAGCGAGAGCCCCACCAAGGAACTCGT